CTATATACTATATACTATATACTAAACTAAATACTAGTAACAGAAGCAGCACAGGATGCGCCTGGGACTGCCGGACGGAGCTTGCCGACACGTCGCACGTGCACCTGGTAGGCAGTGCGGGAGCCAGGAGCCCACACATTGCCGCTCCTAGTCTCCTATTACATGGCTCTGCAAATGTGCAAAAAGCCATGACACATGGAACACGATGAACCATTGTGTTTCCGGAGCACAAGATGGAGCACTCGGAGCCATTGTGTTGCTAGAGCACAAGAAGCGTTCGAAGCTCTCCATGCAAAATTCGGTACTAGAGACCAGCTCAACGTATAGCTACTTTTGCAGCTATACTGTTGCCTATACACTGCATGTACCATGGCGACCGTAGCATACAACCTCTCACAGCACTTAACAGCATCAAGTGGTGCTGTCTGTCTGCATGATTCCAAAGCACAGTATGCTGTCTCACTAAGAAAGATGCCACAGAGCATGCATTGGCCCAAACGCGTGCCAGTTGCAGTCAAGTATGTTAATTTCGTCTCTTCCGACAGAATATCCTTGGGCTATCCATTCGGCCCTCGACCGCCATCCGGCGCCTGGCGCTGGAAGTCCCATTGGTCGGCCCAGCCCCGGGCCTTGTAGCCACCTGCCCGAGCTAGGGAGCTGGACTCTCTCCAAGCCTTTATGCAGATCATGCTAGGCGCGAGGTAGGACTTAGTGACTAGTAGTTAGAACACAGCATCTTCAAGGATAGGAAAGAGGTGGAAGACATGCCAAAACCATCGTAACAGCATGATCTCACCAGCTATACATATACCATAGACAAATTTCATGATACACATATTTTTGCATTGGATGGACCGCAGAGTCAACCGACGCGTCCCAAAAATCATGCATGAATTCAAACCTGACGCAGAAATCTGTGAACAGTATGCGCTCAGGACGGACTGGCACATGTGATCCGGCTTTGCCAGAATGACACAGTACCAGGCCTAGACGGCTCTCTAGTGCTCACTAGTGTCTCCTGACCTGCCCATTGATGGATGGTTTCGTCCCGTGGGGGGTCGGCAAGGAGGGACAAGGGGGCATCATCGCCCAGGAGAGAACGTAGCTCCTGCCGTGTCGGCTGGATGGGTCCAAACGCAGGAACCGGCGGGGCAGCAGCGGAGTAAAGCTGCCATCCCCCTGCACGGATGCCTCGCAATCGTTTCTTGTCAGCTGCTTCGGCATCACGGAGCTGTGTGAGGCTGAGAGGCGGGAGTAAGTGGCAGGCACGTAAAAGGCACGCCTTAGAACTGCGATAGTGCCGTTGAACTCTCGGCAATGAGTGGAAATGGCGAAGGCATGCGACACATGTAGAATGTGGGGCAAAAAGCCTAGCGGGTGCAGGGAGGCCGTGCCGGCGGGCCACGTGTACGCCGAGATGCTTGCGGAGCACAAACCCAGCACTGCAGAAAGGACACGTAAAAGGGGCGTAAGTAGTGAGGTCAACAACCTGGGTTGGAGGAACAGCTTCACCTGCATCCTTTCGGGCACCAACCCACTGCTCCAGGTCCTGGCCGCAGATCCTGATCGCAGCATTCACCTGCCGCTTCCACCACGTACGATCTTCCTGCAATGCCTCCACCAAAGCACGCACTGGGCTGGTCGTATCCAACAGCACTCGGACCCCGGGACAGTACTGGGCAACATGGCGAATGTCACCGTCAAGCTGCGAATGCACGGGATCGGCCTCCCATTGCAACAACAACAGGTGCCGTAGTGTAGCAGGGCCGGTCTCCAAAACGCGGAGTAAAAATCCTCCACGCGCCTTGGCGAGCGCGAGAGGAGGCTTGCATGCCTTGGCACGATGAAGAACCTCGTATGAATGGCACCGGTGCTCCGCATGTGACCTGGGTCGCAATGCCTTGAACAGCGCCGTGTACAGACGAGCCCAAAGTCTCCAATGACTCGCGACGTGGAGTTCAAGTGTGGCAGATCCAAACACAAATTTGGACGCAACCAAAGACGACAAAAGGTGACGTCTGGTGGCCAAAGGTAGTAGGGTTGCCAAACAAAGAACCCCGCAGGGGACGTAAAGTCCACATGGCTTGCGAGTGGCGGTAGTGGATCTCAGGGGTTACTGTACCTGTGCTCGTAATATGGCACTGCCAAGGTGTTTATATGCCTGCACGACGGGGAGCCTGTGGGTGTTGCCAGTGATGGCGTCGGTGATGTCAATCCACGTGTCGCCCTGCTCGCGGGACAACCCAGCCGCGTCGGCGTGACAGACTGGAGGCGGCAACACGACAGCCGTCTTATCTGCTGCAAAAGCGAGCTGTATCCCGTTAGAGGTAGCATGAGTCAGGTAGACACCTGTTGCCTGTCGAACAACATCAATGAGGCCTGGGACGTCAGCAGCAACATGCATGGCGACGAAGTCGTCGGCCCATGATGCAGGCCCAAGGCACGTGGGCGGAGGCTCCTGCTGCCATGGGGGCTGGCTCTTGCTAGGAGCAAGGGGAGTATGCAAGCCCCGCGCGACGAGTGTTTCATTCACGGCTTTAGCGTACGCACTGAAGCTCACGGCGAACATAATGTCCGCTAACGGATCTCCGGGCCTCACGCCGGCGGCCGTAGCCACCAGCGGTGCATGCTGGTCCAGCCTAAACCAAGTACCCGTAAACACTTCCCGGGCAAGTGCAACGGCATGTGGCGTGCATCCGCTCTCGGCAAGAGTTGCAAGCTTGGAGAGGTGGTCGCGAAGCTCGCCACAGGCCTGCGGCGGGATCCCCAAACGGTACAACAAACGAAGCAGCACTCCATCATCCAGGCAGTCGCCCGTGAGCGTCTCGCGTAATACCTGGTAGTACGCGGCACGTACGTCGTAGAACACGAGGGCTGCAAGCTGGCCTGTGCTTTTGGCGTGTGCCTGGAAACACTTGACGGAGAGGGAGATGGTATCAACCCCTATACCTCCTCTGACTCCACCGTGAAGGTCAGGACTAACCCCAAGAAAGGATGGAGTAACCTGGTCGCGGAGGCTTTTGTGGAACACCTTGCCAGTGACGCCAGAGAGCAAAATGCTTCGGTAGCGGTCGCAGCGAAACATCGCTGCCGCCTTCTTGACTAGGGTCATCAGTGCTCCCCCTTTATATTCGACAGGCTCTTGTACCGCCAACACACTCTTGAGGTGAAGGGCGACGAGGTGTCGGGCTGCCAGTGCGGGAGAAAGTTTAAGCAGCTCCGCGGTGATGCCGTCCGGGCCTGCTGCCTTGGCACGACGTAGCCCGAGAATGATGGACTCCAACGATGAAAGGCTTGGGAGCATAGCAGGGTCGAACCGAACGTCTTGTGTCCGACTGGCTGCATCCTTCTGGGCCAGGAGGCGCAGGTAGCCCTGGGCATCAACCGGGGATCCACATTCTTGCTCAGAGAAGTGTTCACGCCAGCGCTCCGCTCTGCCCTCCGCAGTTACTGCAAGGGCACCATCGGCACACTCGACCGCTGGCAGCGCGGTAAAAGTGCTGCGCCGGGCTGCAGCTGCCTTGGGAAAAGCCTTGCGGACCCTCTGGAACAGCTGTCTGGGATGGCTGAGGTCCGCAACTGTGACCTCCTGGACCAAACGGTCAAGGTACTTATTGCGGTCAACCTTGACGGCACCGCGCAAAAGCCTGCAAGCATAGTTGAGGGATGCCCACGCGCGAGCAATGCTGATCTCAACATCTTTTAGCCATTCGGCTGCGCGCTGCTGTGCCTGGGCAGCGAAAACCATGCCCCTAGTATGCATGATGAAACAAGCAAAGCCCACTAGTTTGTACCGCCGACTGAGCTCAGCCTCATGTAGCGACGCAGCGCCTTGCGCGCAGCAACGAGCTGCATGGTGTCTTGCGTGAGAAAGCTTTGTCGCGGGGGAACGGGCTCGGTTGCGCTTGCCGCCTTGCCTGCAGCAGTCCAGGACTGCACGAAAGCATCAAAGTGCGTGTCCACACTCAAGCTCCAGTCAGGAACATGGCGCTGGCTTAGGGCTTGACGGAAAGCCTCCTTGTCAAGCTTGGGGTCCAAATCGTTCGGACGGCAGGCCTGTCTTCGAAAAGTGGCAGCGGAGCCCTCATGGTCGACACGCTGGAAAGTGCACCGGACAGCGGTTGGTACGTGATCGTCCCTCTTTTGCATAGCTTCAAAAGAGTACCACGTTTCTGATTGAACACTGAACTCAGCCCACGCTTGAGGCAGCGCAATGTAATCAAGGCGACGGCGGTCGCCCGTTGCAGAGCTCCACGTCCATGTCTCGCCAGCTTGATAGGCATGAAAAGTGCTGGGCAAAAATAGGCTGTGTCGCAGGAGAAAGTCATGAAAATTGAGCCGCAACTGTTTCGGTTTCTGCCCACCTCGCCGACAGCAAGGCTAGGAAGGTCTCCGACCCGGCTGTTGGCATCGGCAAGCAAGACAACAGGCATGTGGGCTGGTAGGCGTTTAAGCTCAGTATCCCGCTGCTGCCAAAAGGCCTTGGCGGACTGCAGTCTACCCTGAGGATCTGTCGGTGCATGAGCGACCAAGAAGGCACAACGAAAATATGGAGCACTGACAGTAACGAGCATGTGTCGCGGCGAGAATGCAACGACTGCACAGCGCTTGTGGCTTCGAAAAACAGTGGCCGGCCTCCGACGTGCGCATAGGGAATAGTTTTGCTTATCCACACCGCACATCCGAAATGTCCTGCTTCTGCGGCGGCAGAATGTAAAAGCAGATAACGGGCATCGGGGAGCGTCGCTGTCTCCTGGAGACGCGTCTCCTGTAACCCGAGAACATGTACCTCAGCCGCTTGGCACTGTTCAAGTAAGAGATGGCGTTTGCCAGCCAGCTTCATGCCGACTTTCCTCAGGCGCGCAGGTCCCCGATTGCTGGGCCCACCCAAGAGTGTAAGCACATTGTAAGTGACAAGATGCAACCGGATCCGGGCAGGCTTCTTGGGAGCAGGGGCCTCACAGAGACCCATCTGAGGGGCGTGTCGCGCCTTAGGCTGCAGGCAGCAGTGGCTTCGAAAGCGAACAGGCGGGGGAGGTCAGGGGCATAACCGGCGGCAAGCCATGCCCACTCACAAAGCGAATGCCGCGCCAGTCGGCTTGGCCAAGTGGGCAAGAGACATTCATCTGCCGGGCACGGGTGCAACCTGGCATACTTAGCGAACCCGTCGCTAAGCTCGTTGCCAATGAGGCCGGCATGGCCCGGCACATAACTAGCCTCAAGGTCTACTCGACACTGGACACATTGGCGCAGGACACTGGCGAAACCACTCAAACTGCGGTATCCTTCCGCGACCGGCAACCGCGCTGGGGCGGCCTCACAGAAAGTTCCTCGGCCAGCCGCCTGGCAATCATAGCGCAAATGAATCGGACATTTGAACCCGGTGCATACTCAAACGCCCATATGAGTGCCCAGCAGATGCCCAGAAGTTCACTCTGAAGGGAGCTGTCGCTGGTTTCTCCAAGGTACGTTGACGTACCTGGCAGTGCAGCAGTGCCTTTGGCCGCACCATAAAAGTAGTTGCCGGCGTCGGTGCAAACCCAGACGGTAAAGGCCCAGCCGGCTGGTGCTGACTTAAGAGGCTCCCTATCGCCAGCGGCAGACCCATCCGTGAAAATGTCGACACGACGAACATCTTCC